AACAACAACAACAACAAAAACTACAACTACAACCACTTCGACTACTTCAACTACATCAACTTCGACGTCAACTTCAACTTCCACGACCTCAACAACAACCACAGCTACAACTACAACAACAACTACGGATACAACAACAACAACAACCACAACTACAACTACGACCACAACCACAACTACAACTACAACATCAACCACAACTACAACTACAACATCAACCACCACTACAACTACGACATCAACCACAACTACAACTACAACGACAACCACAACTACAACTTCAACAACGTCCACGACTACAACTACAACGACAACCACAACTACAACTACAACAACAACAACAACTACAACTTCAACAACGTCCACGACTACAACTTCAACAACATCTACGAGCACTACAACGTGAGTTATCGGTGTTGTTTATCTGGAGAAAGAACAGACATCCCTCCAATTTCCCCTGATAGGTCACTGATCGATTTTTTACTTTCTCCGAAGAAAGAACTTCTAATGTAAATATAACAATTGGGCCCTTGTTTTTCCACATAATATTGTTCTTCAAATGCAAAATTTTACAAAAGCTAAGAATAGAGTAGGAAATCATCTAAGATCAATGCTGATATTATAGGCTATCCTATTTGGATATTAGCAGATTCGTCTTTGTACAAATATATAGGATATACAATATTTTGGTCACATGTGTCTTTCTTTTTTTCCAGAGTTGATGGTATTTACCTTACTTTCGATTAAGACCTTCGAATGTACAGTGATCACGCTTGTCGAAATTTCTGTTATCGTCAGAGGTGATTGTCAGCCAAATAGGAGTCATAAAAGATGTAGTTACCTTCTCCCTGCCTCTCTTACTGCTTGAAGCATTATCAAGCACATAGCTGGCCCATAAGGCGCATCAGATGATTTTCAGCCCATAAATTTAGCAAACATACCCTCTAACCAGTCATTGTGATGATCATTGTATTGAGTTTTTTGCTTTTGGATAATATGTTCTTGGAAAACGTAACTACACTATTTTCATCTGAGATTTTTTCTGTAGGGACCTCTCTGAGCGATTAGATAGATCGGTATAGAAAATTGAGCTGAAATGAACGCATTCTTCTTGAAATATTGACTGTTGTCTTGGACCAACAATATCTCAAGAATGTATTCAGTTGAACTAAAGTTTGCATAGCAGTTTAATGGCTATAAGAGATTTCAATACGCAAAGGCTCGCAAGAAAGTATATCCAATTGTTGGAGACCGTTCAAACCCATATTTTGTCTGGAAGCAGGGCTCAGTGAGGCTAAGAAGATCCAAAAATAGTTGGTGCTCATGATATGTCTGAAAATATATCTAGTAGCTAGATAGGTGTAAGAAAATGAAACGTTAGGTGAAGGTGTCGGTAAGAAGAAGATACATTGACACTCTTATTTTTTGACTGAATATGAGCCAACTTCGTAGGATGACATGAAAATTATATGTTCATAATTTCTATCCTCATCTTCTCGTAGTAAAGAAGAAGATCTACGAGAAAGCAAACAAATCTCATTGTCTTACACCTATGTGACAATGAGATCTCTGCCCAGGCACGCCATGGGTACGGACTTTTTTAAAGTTTTCTTAACGTCATTGAGCCGTGCTCACAAGTAAAAGATAATACTAAACGGTGTCCGACAGTTGAATATGTTGCCTTGTTAATTGAGAAATATTTCGAACGCAGAGTCTACATAGAGTTGATATTGTTGCATTTCGAAATTAGTGGACCTAAAATATCTAACTCAACTAAAAATCATTGTTGTTATATTTTATAATAGCGTCCATTTATCCGCTTTTGAGAGGTTTCACTGATTTTTCGTAGTCATCAAAAAATTCAAAACCACTCAAAGCCTGAGCGAAAAGCAAGACAGAAAACGAGTACAATGATATAAAACAAAGAAAAACAATCGCAATCGTTGCAAAATCATCAATATTAATTAAAATCTGTTCATATCATGAAAAAAAAGGAATTGCTGCTTGTCACAAGTTGTTGAGCTACTTCAAAAAAAACCCAATTAACTACTCAGAATCAATGAATTTGATTGATTTTATGTGATTTCAAAAAATTTTCATTGGTTTTAAAATTATATTCAGCTATGTAGTGTAGAATGTGGAGAGTTGATTAAAATAAGGTATTGTCCCCGTGGTTTAAATAGATTGTGTGAAATAACGAAGAGCATATTTATCCATCTAGTGGAACTCTCAAAAGTCGTACGTATACAAAAGCATACTTAACAAGTTTGACGCAGAAAAGTACATGCGATTACACAGAGGAATGATAGTTTGCCTCATCCATTAGCTGTCAGTATGTAAATAAGCCAAAGTTATCATTGAATATAAATTAATAAATTTTCTGAATTGTAACAGATACTCATCTTTATTTATAGAAGTAATTTGTGAAGAGGATCATCCTTAGATATGAATTCTGTTGTGCTGATTTCTATCGTCGAAATTCTCGAACTTTGGTCTTCTATACGAATGATAGATACTGCTCATAATTGACATTTGTTTTTATTTTAATATTAATTCTTATTCTAAGCTAAATTGAAAATTCTCACTTTCTGCTGCTTTTAGAACGACCGCAACGACGACACGTGGTCCAGGTAACATCGATTTATTTTACGATTGACTTTTGAGTTTATTTCATGTTATGAACACTATGCTTGTGACCTCTCTCTCTCTCTTCAAAACACACAAAAAATTGAAGATCTGAGGTTCAAAGCATTGTTATAAAGATATATATTCACCAAGTATACTGAAGAGATTACAACACTTCTATTTCACATATATTTCATTACAACAAAAAATCTGAATCTTGAGTTTTTTTTTAGAAGATGTGCCGTTGAATTGTCAGCAAACATCTATTAACTTGAATTTTATAAAAGTATATATGAAAGCTTTTAATAGTGTTACATAGTGTGGTGTAATAACTATACCTACTTTCCACACACTGGTTTTACTAATTTATTTTTCTCATAAGAACAAATATACTAAATTTTGAAAATAGAACTGAGTGCTAAATAACTCTTGAAAGCCTCTGCTAACGTATAAATATACATATGCAAAGTTTTTCAATGCTTCCTCTTTCGTTTAGATACATTACCAGCAGAGCTATTTTTGAGAAAGGTAGCTGAGTATAAGTGCGAGTAGTCCTCATAAATTAGCCTCTGAAACTCTATGGATTGAATCTCTATTGTGATACGATGCATCCTGCTAGGCAATAGAAGCAAATTTCAAATCTGAGTACATAAAAACAATCTGTCATTTGAGCTTTTCGATACGAAGAGAATTAGATGGTTTCATGATGAATACTCGAGTCGTAGTTCAAACTTAGTTGTTTAACTAAGCGGTTATATTTTAATAGAAAGTGGCATAAATTGGCTACTGATTTTGGGCTTATCATTATTGGGTCTACTGCTTCTTTTATGCTGTTGTTGCTGTTTTCTGTATTGGCTATTATGGTAAGTCTTTCGCTTTTGATTATTTCTGTTGGATAAAAGGAATACCAGTATACACATTCTACTAGTCTTCTGAAAATAGAAGGCAGCAAAAGTTAAGCGATAAATCTCAAGAATACATAGATATGTCGAGACCATCTTTTCTTTTTCGTATGGTCAAAAACTGTGCAGATAACTGTATATAAGAAACAAAGTTCTCAAGAAAATTCCAGTGATTTTCGAGCAAAATAAAACCATTCAATAGCCAACGGTTTGTTCTACGAACATCTGCAAATGCTAGTTTGTTCCTTTCTTTTATTTGGGTGCTAGGTCTCATTAACTAGGAGTGCCAGATTTGATACTATGTCATCCTGTTGAACTTCGATTCATATGGAAACATATTAGCCATCATAATGAACATGATGGAAAATGTTTATTTTCTATTTTGAACTGACACAAGCTCACTAGATAAAGGTTACCTGAGCGTGCAATATTCGATCACATCTATCTATCAATCACACAACTAATACTCATTCAGTTTTAGTAAAAAAAACTTGGCGAACGCCTCTCAGATTATACGAAATATAAAACATTAACTTCTCTTACTAAAAATTTCCATCGTGTTCACCATGATGACTAACATATGTTTCTATATAAATCCAAACTTAACAGATTGAAAAAGTATAACTTCCGGACATCCCGATCCGTGATATTTGGCGGCCTAAGGAAAGGATGGATAAAAATAGGACTTACGGCTCTTCGTCGAGCCTACTGTTGACTATTGAATGAGTTTATTTGGATCAACAATTTACTCGAACTTTCCTGATTGATAAGCTAGTTCTCCATTGATCACTCTAGAAAATCATTAGAAACCTTCCTGAGAACTTCATTTCTTACATACATTTATCTGTCCAAGTCTTGATCATATAACAGAGAAAATTCGATTTCGATATCTCTTTGTCTTTTCAACCTGTATCACTTAATCTGTTCTGCCTTCTATTTTGAAATGGGTAGAAGTGAAAACTATAACTTAAATACATGCTGTTTGAAATATTACGGATGTGTCAAATAAAACGGAATTTCTGTTTCTATCTTTTTATTGTCTTTCTGATGATGTTAATCACTCATTTGATTCTAAATAAATAGCTAATCTTTCGCCCAACAAGCTGGTCAAGTTTATCTTACAAATAAGTTCGTCTTGTCTGCATAAAACTTTTAAGATTGATACCTATTGAATCGTCTTATTATGATGGTCAAAGAACATGAGAAGTCGATGAACATTTTTAAATAGATGCACTGTTGAAATTTGAAATATGCTACAAACGTCTTCAGAAAACTCTGCAACTTTTAATATTTGCTTCAGAATTTTAGAAGAAAAATTATTTAGAATACAAACACAGTTTCGTTTTTTATCTCTTCAATTTGACAATCAGATCATTCTATCCAAATGTGAATCCTACACTTGATTGCATGAGCATAAACATTGTGTAGACCAAGAATTGCTTTGAAAAACATGATTTTCGAAAATTTGTCTAAAAGTACTAGTAAGAGTTATTGGGAAAAGTTTTCCTCTTCAACAATAGTATCAGAAACCTTGCAAAGGGTCATGAAAGCAGACAGTACGAAACTTTCTCACCATCTATGCCGAATACCTAAGTTTTAACATCGATCTTGATGAGCAAAAGCTTAGACAGATCGATAAAGTTTGTAGAAAATCAGAAATCATAGTTCGACGATTATGTAGGTGTTCGTTCTTCAAGCTTTATTATGACAAGTAGAACTTATCTGGAAAATAAACTCGATAATTTCGTACACAAAAAAATTTATATCTGACCGATGTTTAAGAGTTGAGAATATAATGAGAATCACTGAAGTAAAACTGCTCGATTCTTGCAGTACTAAAATCATTAATAGTTGCATAATTACAAATCGAACAACATTGATTTTGAAATAGGAGTCCTGCTGCACGACGCCGTCGACGAAAACCAAACGAAGAT